TCATTAACTTCACTAAGCCTGAATTTCCTCATATACTTCAAAAGACTATCGTACTTAAATTTATGAAAAGAGATTAGAACTATGCTTGGCATATAGTAAATGATTAATCAGTAACATTTTGGCTTCACTGAAAAAAGTACATTTCAAATCAGCAAAAGACTAAAAGGAATTATTTAAAGTTTATTGAGGTAATGTCTAGATCAAAATAAGGCACCTTGGGACTTCAGAGACTTGAGAAGTAGGATTTAATTGCTCTCTTGTTTTCATTCTTTGGTTAGTAGCTTCGTTTTCTTGACGTTTTGGAAGTAATGAAAACACAATGTTCCCCATCCCACTCTACCCACCTAGATCAGCATCTGTTAAACTTCTGTAACTTACACTGTAACTGTAACCACAAGATTCATGGTAATGTGGGGAATATAAAATACAGGATTAAGTAGGAAGTTATTGGTGCACTAGAAATGATAGCATCAGTTATGTGATAGCAGAAACTTACCAAAACATTAATGGCAATCACTTGTGATTGTTATTTCTCAAGTCAATTGTTAACTCCTAATGAGCCCATGTGATAGAGTAGAGCTGTCCCATAGAATGTTCTAAGATAAGTCTTTAAAGAAACAAATTGTTCTCTCCTTCTCCCTTGGAGACACTGATGTTGTTAGGTGCATTGAGCCAGCTTCAACTCACAGGAACCCTATGGAGAGCAGAAAGAAACCCTGTCATCTTTCACTCTTTAAATGAAACTCACTAACATTCAATAGTTTGTCCTTAGAATTCTTCAGTATTGCAACTCAATGCTTGATTCTTTGATTCTTCTTGATTCGATGCTTGAATCTTTTTTCTTCAGATCTTTCAGCTTGAGAAATGTAAAGCATGTTCTTCCCTTTTGGTTTTCCAATTCCAGATCTTGGCACATTTCATTATAATTCTTTAGCATCTCAATCTCAAACTGCCTTTTGGAATCTTCTGTTAAGTTATACTTATTTATGTCTTCCTTTCCTCTACTTCCCTAAGTTTCTCACTTCTGTAGGTTCTAGAGAAATTATCAGTCTCTACTGACATCTATTTTGAGCTTTTCTTTCATCTTGTCTTTTTATTTTTTTTTTTAGAACTTTAACGTTTGAGTGCAGATTTTTTTGCATTCCTATAAAGAGTGCTAATATTAGGGGTTTTAGACATTAGTTTCATTTATATTTCATTCATGTATATTGTGTAGGTTTACCCCCTTGTAATCAATCAGACTAATTACCTTTGCAAAAGTGTGTAAGCCGGCTTCTTCATGCCTCATGCCCTAATATCATCTAGTTGATTGCTGCAACTTGATGGCTTGCTCTGGAATGTTCTTTGCTTGTGGATTGAGATGCTCAAAGCCGCCAGGTTGAATAGAAGATTCTTCAGCAAAAAAAGGATATGTTTACTCTCTCAGAGAACTGGATTGATAGGGATGGACAAATCAGAATTTGGCAATCTTTTTGTCTTTTTAATGACTTTTTCTCTTTCTATATGTATTATGTTCTTAATATCATCCTACAACTTGTCTGGCTTTCAGTAATTAATGTTCAATGTACCAAATCTATTCTTGTGATAGTCTCTAAACTCAGTCTCTAATATTTTTACTTTTGTGGACTGAATCTACTTCTGCTTTAATTTGAACTTGTTTATGAACAATTTATGGTCTGATTCACAGTCTTCCCCTGACCTTACTCCACCATCTCTTGTCAAAAATGTAATTATATAATTATTGTTTTACTACCAGGTGAAATCCATGTGTATAGTTAGCATTTATGTTTTTTAAAAAGGTGTTTGCAATGAATAAATTGTCAGTTGTACAAAATTATGTCCTCTGGTCAAGCATCACTGTTTCAGAAATATCTTCACTAACCATTGCATTCTAAATTCTGTCATCATTTATTCTCTATCACATTGTCCTGTATTTTCATACATTTACAGAAAATTGAGACAAGTTGGAGCATTCTAACTTGTTAGAAACACATTATAAAGTTCAAATACCATTTGATCCAGTGATTCCACTATTATGTTTCTGGCCAAGAGAAATAAGAGTGGCAATACAAACTCTCTCTCTCTCTCTCACACACACACACACACACACACACACACACACACACACACACACACATTTATTGCAGTATCATTTACAATAGCAACGCATTATAAGCAACTTATGTCCATTAGTGGATGGATGTCTAAAGAAACTATGATATGTTGTGGAATTTATGACTTTCCTAGCCATGTGTATGAATGGAAATATGCAAAAGGGGCTTGTTAGCCTAGCCACAGAATTAGAACTCTCCCACCAAGGTGAAAAAGAAGAAGCAAGAGAATATAGACCACTCTTGGACACCAGATGTTCTTGCTTCCGTTATTCCATGGTAGGAGCAGCAGTGGCCAAATCAGAGACCTGACGTGACAGAGGCCTTGGGACTGATATATCTTTGGAACTGGAGTTCAGAGCTTTTGCCCAAGAGTGTTGGCAACTGGGAGTGTGTGTGTGTGTGGGGGGGGGGGACACAGTATTGGCAGGACTGAGAACTTTGTAACATTGGCCTAAAGCCATGAAGCTCAAGGCTGAGGTGCCTACAAGCACATTTTGGGAGCCGTCCTGACTATATTCTTCTACTAACTTGGATTTTACCATTTGACTTCCCTAACGTGGTTCTGTGTGGTCTAGGAATGATTGCATCAGATTTGGGGTCCAAAAAAGCAGTAAGATTGGTGTTAAAGATGAGTAGAAAGAGGTATGGAAGCCTGGGGGACATATCTGACCTCATGGGAATTAGTTCTGTTATGACTGATGCTGTTGAGGGGACAATTCTCCTTTGTGAAATTGGTAAAGATTAGACATAAACATCCCCACATGGCCCTTGCTCTTTTCACATATGTGCATACTAAAAACAAGCAAGAGTTTGTGAAATACTGCAAAACATGGGTATAGAATAAATGATTCTGTGTGACATAAAACAGTCCCCAAAAAGACAATTATGGTATAAAACCACTGTTATAAGAAGCTTTTATGATGGGATTCAGCTGTTCTTTGGTTGGTTTCAAGTACCTGGAAGGAAATTTTTAACATTTTAACAATATCTTGGGTGATGATAAGGGCCAATGAACCAATTAAAGTAACTGACAACTTAAAGGAAAGTCTGCCATCTACTATTGAAGGGAGGTCAGTTTGTTGTGACATTCTTGCCCAGTAAGAAACTTTGTGACTGTGATCAGGAGGTGAGGAAGCGATGGTGGCTTATTGGTAAAGAGTTGCACTGCCAACCCAAAGGTAAGTGGTCCGAATCTACTCCAAAGAAGAAAGATGGACAGTCTCCTCCCATGTTATTTATAACACATAACAACACCATAACAATCAAGATGTTACTTGAATGGTGCAAAATGCCAACAATGAGACAGCTTTATTGTGATATAAAAACCTTGTGGTACAGTGTTACATACTTGGCTTCTAACTGTAAGGTGATTTTAACTCACCAGTTACTCAGTGGTAGAAAGACATGACAGTCTGCTTTCATACAGGTTACAGCCTTAGAATGCCAGGAGGCAGATCCTCTCTGGCCTCAAGTGTTATGAGTTGGATATGACTACATGAAAGCTGGTTTTGGGTTTGGGTTGAGATAATCCATATATCATACAATTTACTAATTTAAATTTATGTTAATTTAAAGTATATACAGTTTAATGTGACTTAGTGACAAGAAGCTGCATTGCAATTCTGAAGGCACACAGTTCGAGGACTTGCTCTGTAGGAGAAGGATGGGCAATTTTCTCCTATGCAATTAACTGCCACTGAAAACTCACTGGAGGGTCAGCTATGGGTCAGTTCTAACACTACGGTACATAATAACAAGAGTTTAGTGGGGTTTTTCTATATATACAAAGTTGTGAAAACATCATCACAATATATTTTAGGACATTTCCATCACTTCCAAAAGAAAGCCCGTATCCATTAACAATTACTTCTTTTTCCCAGTCCCTTCTTCCCAAGCGTAGGCAATCTTCATTCTGAGTCTAGAAACCTTCATATACCTAAATGATACTACTCAAGAAGTAGAAAAAAAATGAGACAAAAGATCATGCAAAGCATGTAGAAGTGAATTGTCCTTTTTGGAACTGTCTCCATTTTAAAGGTTGGGGTATTAAAGAAATACCATCTAGAGGATTCAGGCCGTGGTCTTTCCAATCACTGGCTATGTACCTGAGAGCTAGACAATGAATAAGGATGACAGAAGTAGAATTGATGACTTTGAGCTGTGGTGTTGGAGAAGAGTAGTAAATATCCCAAGGACTGCCAAAAGAATAAATATGTCCTGGAGAAAATGCAGCCAGAGTGCTGCTTGAAGGCAAAGATGATGACGCGTCATCTCACGTATTTCGGGCATGTTGCTTGGAGAGGCGATTCCTTGGAGAGGGACATCATGCTTGGGAAGGTGGAGGGATGGAGAAGAAGAGGAAGACGCTCAACCAGATGGATTGACACAGTGACTACTGCAATGGGCGTTAGTGTGTCGAGAATTGTACAAGATAGGACAGAGTTCAGATCTACTGTTCATAGGGCCGCTATTAGCCGTACTCGACTTGACAGCACCTAACAACAACTGACAACATCTGGAAAGCGAATGAGAACATTGCATAGTCAAAACTCTATACTAGATAATCGAACAGCGACCCCAGGGACGCCCCTCCTGCAGAATTTAAACAAAAGCTGTCAGATTTCAGCGGTCTTTCCCCGAGTTCCATTCAAACATCTCGGCTTCGGAAGAACTGACCAATCCTAACCTCCTTCCTAGGGCCACGCCCCCGCATCTCCGCCTTTGGGACCCACCGTCCTCTCCTTACGCACGCTGCGCGCGGACGTCTGCCTATGACGCCAGAGGCGCGCGCGCCCCCGCTCCGCCCGGCCGCTGCCGCCGACCATTGGCCGCTGCGGAAGCCCCTCCTTGAGGACCCTTACCCCACCTCCTCCCGGGCGGCGATCCATGTGGGAGTTCAGGCTCCCGCGGTCGCCCCCGCTGCTGTTCCTGCTGTCGCAGCTCGTAACCGCAGGCGCCGCTTCCAGTTCTCGGGCCGGAACCATGAACCCGAGCGGCGGCGGCAGCAGCAGCGCGCGATGCTCCCCCTCGGTCGAGGGGCGCCGTCAGCAGTGTCTGCAACTGTCCACGGTGCCGGGAGCAGATCCGCAGCGCTGCAATGAGTTGCTCCTGCTGGTGGCGGCAGGGGAGGGACCAGAGCTGCGGGATCACCCAGGGGACCGGACGAAGGAGAGGCTGCAGCCGCCGCCCCAGCACCATGTCCTCTATTTCCCGGGGGACGTGCAGGTAACCTGGGGCCTGCCTCGGCTGTCGGTGGGCGTTCTCTCAAGCTGCTTCCCTCGGGGCTGGGACTGGGTTTCTTTCTCGCCCAAACACACCCACACTTGAGCTCCAGGGAGCGCCGCCTCCGTTACTCCGCAAAGTGGAAAACCGCCCTTTCCCCACCCCTAGCCCTCCCTCCTGGAGTCCTGGAGCGAAGGTGTCCTTTGACTGCGAGAACTGCCCGTTTGGGCTGCGAGGCGCCAGAATTTGAGACATAGGAGAAAAAGGGGAGGCATAGTAATTATCTAAGTTGGTTTCACAGATAACTTTGTATCATTGAGGCTAGGGACAGATAAATTGTTTTTACATTAATTTATCATGTAGTGTACATACAGGAAGCATTGCAGTAATAACTTAAGTGCAGAAACGCAAAAGCATGGCATTCATTAATCCTAAAGCGGAGGGAAAAGGGGGAAGGGCCAGTAATTACTAAGCATGTCAGCCTTTTCATGCTAGTCTAAATTCTGTACTTTTAGTTCTTTGTATGATTTAATTGTTAGTTTTCTAGCTGCAGGGACTATATCTGTAGGGTTTTATTCCCCTGCAGCCCAGATCAACATTGTCTAATAAGGTAAACGTTACCCATGTCTGGCTATTTAAATTAAGATTTAGGCACTTCTGTTCCTCTGCTGTGCTAGACAAATTTCAAATGCTTACTGGCCACATTTGGTTGTAGATAGTGTACTGAACAGGGCAGCTGTGCAGCATTTCCACAGAACATTCCTAGTACAGAAAATTCTACTGGAAATGTTGATTGAGAAAGGCAAACCAAGAATATGGCTAGATGTGCTACTCATTCTATCAAGTAATATTACATGAAAATGATTTTTGAAATTGAGAGCTTAAGATAGACTTGAAAAGTTTGTGCTTGAGCCTGATAACGAATGAGATATATGTAGTACTTTCTCTGTCCCTAGACAATTGATTGGTCTCATTGTCTGTAAAAACTGTAAAGAACTGATATTTTAGATGAAGAAGGCTAATTTTCTTTTACTTGCTCAGATTTAGGAAGACAGCATGTGACCCTGCTGAAAATGACCTTTGCAGACTTGTGAACCAGCTATTGGCTGGTTAATATCATTATATGGCATATTGTTATATGGCACTGTTAGATGGCATATCGTTAATAGTATGATTATAGTGATAACATTTATTAAACTTAAAAGACAGACCTCTTCAAAATGATGAGCAATTATGTCAGTCTGGACACTAAGGTGCACCTTATACAGGTCATGGTCTTTGCAATCACTTGCTATGCATCAGAGAGATGGACAATGACTAGAGATGATAGAAGGAGAATTGATGCCTTTGAGCTGTGGTGTGGAGAAGAGTATTGAATATATACTGCTAGGAGAACAAACAGGTTTATCCTGGAGAGGGTGAAACCAGACTGCTCCTTGGAGGCAAGGATTCTGAAGCTTTGTCTGACATACTTTGAAATGTTGCAAGGAGGGACCAGTCCTTGGAGAGGGACGTCACGCTTGGGAGGATGGAGGGACAGTTCAGGAGAGGAAGACCCTCAGTGAGATGGATTGATTGAGGGTAGGTTTGTCGGTGACAGTGAGATTGGCACAGGATAGAGCAGGTTTAGGCCTGTTGTACATAGGGTCGCTCTGAGTTGCAGGTGACTCATTGGCACATAACAACAACAACTGTTTTTAAGGCATGCCAGTCAGACATATTTCATATTTTAAGATTAACTTTAAAGGATACCAGTAAGTACCTTTGGAGTATTATCTTACCCCCTTTCAGCATCATTCATTTCTTCCTTCAGTCTTAGATTCTATTAGCATTTTGGACAATGATGTATTTTTTTATTTATATAGAGTATTAGTGCTCTAAAAACCATTGGTCTTTTATAGAAGAAATAGAAGATAATGCACCAAATACTTTAAGGCCAGATTGCCTAGATTTGAACCCTGATTCTAAAGGAGGTTTTTTTTCTGGTATGAAATCTCTGGATAATTGTCTAACCTCTTACAATAATTATCTCAACAACAACCAAAATATGGGAATAATAACTTATATGGTAACCAAACCATCCAAAGCCTTTTTCCATCAAATCTGTTCCAACTTACTGCCACCTACCATTGGGTTTCTGAAGGAAACTGCATCTTCTTTCCACAGAGAAGCTGGTGGATTCAAACTGCTGGCCTTCTGGTTAACTGTGCAATCTAAACGCACTGTGGTACCAAAGAGGATTGAATGTGTAAATATGTAATGAACTACAGCCCCTTCTTTATCCTTCTGATGACTTTCTAACTTGTTATAATGCTCTTTGAGCTGTAGTGTTGGAGGAGAGCACTGAATATCCCATGGATGGCCAAGAGAACTAACAGATATGTCTTGGAGATGGTGCAGCCGGAGTGCTTTTTGGAAGCAGAAATGATGAGGCTTTGCCTCACAGACTTACGACATGTTGCTAGGAGGGCCTATTCCTTGGAGAAGGACATGATGCTGGGAAGAGTGGAGGGTCAGCGAAGGAAAGGAAGACCTTCAACGGGGTGGACTGACACAGTGACTGCTGCAATGGGCTCTTGTGTGTCAGGAAGTGTGAGGATGGCCCTGGGCAGAACAGGGTTCAGATCTCTTGTTCATAGGGTCTCTATGAGTCATGCTCAACTCAGTAACACCTAACAACAGCAGTCATGCTCTTGAGTTCAGTTTTAGGCTTTTCCCTTGTCTGTATTCACTCTTGTAGTGATCTCTTTCAATCTCATTGTTTTACACACTGCCTGTACCTTGACATCCTTTCCACATTTGTGTATTTAGTGTGAACATCGTCCTTAAATTTTGGACTCACCAGTTGCATGCACAGTATTTCCTTTTGGATAGTCATTTCCTACAGTCATTCTCATCTGATGGAAATTACTTTTTGCTAGCTCAACTTAGAAATCTTAATATCATCTTTGACTCCTTTCCTTCATGTATCACATCCAGACCATTAACAAATTCAGTGATTTCATCTTAGAAATCTACCTAGAAGTAATCAAAATAATAATTTAAAAATGTAAGTCAGATCATTCACACTTCTGTTCACAACTTGCCATTGGCTTCCCATATAACGCAGAATATAACCCAGGGTCCTTTCAATGACTCGGCCCTTTGCTATGCCTTTGTTTCCACTTTACTACCATTCTTGCCTCTGTTTTCTGCCCAAATGTGTTGGGCATACTTTACCCCAAAGTCTTTGCCTATCAGCGTGGAGTAATTTCTTTCCACAGGTATCTGTAAGATTCCCTACTTTAGCTCTTTCAAGTCTGCTTAAAAGTTGACCTTTTCTGAGCATCCTGTTTAATCTTAAATCTACATAGGCTGCCTGTCAACTGTTCTCCTTTATTTTTATTCATTTCATTCTTGGATTGCTTACTCATTTTGATTTTTTCTTTATCATAGATTCTTATAAACCTGCAGAAACTAAGAGACCCACACCATATTGGTGTTTGCATAAAGTACAAAGGGTTATTAGGGAAATTTTACATCATACCAAGAGTTTGAAGAAACTAATGATAAAGATTTAAGTTAGCAAGATGATCCTAACAGCAGAGTGGGGAGAACATTTATTACAAGCTGTACTTTACCAAGTGTGGGTCAAAGATCATCCTTTGAGTACAATGACTATCTCAGTTAGGGAGGCTTAGGCTACCACCATGTTAGGTACCCAGTTTTTAAAAGGACTGTTTGATACCTGAGAAGGTCCCTAGAACAGATAACCAAGGTATACTACCATACTGTTGCTATTGTTGTTATATGCCATCCAGTTGCTTGTGACACATAGCAACCCTATGCTCTATCCTGTGCCAGTCATTGTCTCTGACACACCTACCCCCATTGCCCCAGTCACTGAATCAATCCATCTCATAGAGAGTCTTACTCCCTTGCACTGACCTTCCACACTACCAAGCATGATGTCCCTCTCCAAGGACTGGTTCCTCCTTGCAACATGTCCAAAGTGTGTCAGACGAAGCTTTGGAATCCTTGTCTCTAAAGAGTAGCCTTGTCTCAGCTTCTCTAGGATAAACCAGTTTGTTCTAGCAGTCCATGGTATATTCAGTACTCTTCACCAACACCAGTGCTCAAAGGCATCAATTCTTCTGTCATCCCCAGTCATTGTCCAGCTTTCTGATGCATAGCAAGTAATTGCAAAGGCCATGGTCTGGATCAGGCAGACCTTAGTCTCCATATTGACTTTATTGCTCATCAGTACTTTGGAGAGGTCTCTGAGAGCAGATTTTCCCAATGAAATTGATCTTTTAATTTCTTGTCTGCTGATACCAAGAGTGTTGATTGTGGAGCCAAGCAAACTAAAGCTGTTAACAATCTCAATCTTTTCACCAACTATCATGATGCTGTAATCAGCCCAGTGGTGAGAGTCTTTGTCTTGACATTGAACCTCAATCCATATTGAAGGCTGCAGTCCTTGACCCTCTGCAGCAAGCGCTTCAGGTCCTCCTCAGTTTCAGTAACCAGGGTTTTGTCATCTGCCTAACGCAGGTTGTTAATAGATCTTCGACCAAACCTGATGCCACACTTCTCCATATAGAGGCAAGCCTCTCGGATAATCTTTCTTCATACAGGTTGAAAAGGTATGGAGATAGGACACAGCCCTGGCATATACCTTTCCCAATTTTGAACCATGCAGTGTTTCCCTGCTCTGTTCTGACGACTGCTTCTTGGTCCAAGTATAGGTTTCACATTAGAACAATCAAGTGTTCTGGGATTCCCCTTCTTCTCAGAGTCAGCCACAGTTTGTTATGATCCACACAGTCAAACACCTTTGCATAATCAATGAAACACAGATAGACATTCCTCTGGTATTCCCTGCTTTCAACTAAGATCCATTTAACATCAGCTACAATATCCCTAGTACCATGACCCCTTCTAAACCCAGCCTGGACTTCTGGCATTTCTCTGCTGATGTGCTGTTCTAGTCATTTTTAGATAATCTCCAGTAGAATCTTGCT